TGCTTTTCTGTGGACTGCCGCCTGGCCTTCTGCTTCACAGGGCGCACGCTGGGGCATACATTGAGGTGATGCTCGATTACACTCCTGGGGATCCCTGCCAACTGGTCTGGCTCCCAAGTGAATACCTTCTTGTTTGCGCGCAAGAACCCGACCAGGGCCTCCTCCTTCTCGGGTTTGAGGTGGGCGCCTATGGTGAAAGTGGCGTTGGTGGACCCGTCCTCATCGACGGGTATCTGCTTGGTTTCTGCCTTGTCTTGGGTGAACAACTGTTTCTTCTTGGCGGGCGCAGCCCCCTTGGGCTCGGGGGCCTCCAAGGTGGCGGGCTGTGCCGACGCTGCTGTCTTGAAGACGAGCTTGAGCACCCGCAGAGCGTCCCCAGTGTCCCCGTACACGGTGAGGACACCGCTGCTCCCGGGCATCTTCATGAGGTTGTACGCCGGGTGCGTCGCGGCCATGAACTGGGCCAGCACCGGGTAGCCAAGGATGGCGTTGTAGGGAAGGCCGATGAGGGCGATGTCGAAGTCGACTAGCTCCGTGCGGAAGTTGTCGCAGGTGCCGAAGGTCACTGGGAGCCGGATCTGTCCCAAGAAGCCGGACGACCTGCCCCCAACGCCTGAGAAGGGCCGGCTGGGCTGCAGCCGTTCCAGGGGTATGCAGAGGAGGTTGAATGCCTCGACTAAGAGCACGCTGAGGCCTGCCCCGCCATCGATGAGAGTTCTGGTGATGGCCACTTGGCAGATGATGGGGGTGCACAGCATGGGGAGCGCGCCCGAGCAGGCCGAGTTGGAGGGGTGGTCCTCCGAGCTGAAGCTCAGGCCGGTCTCGGGCGCCGCCCGATCCAGGGGAGCCCCCTGCCGCATGGAAGCGACGCTGACCCGGCGAATGAACGGCTTGACGTGGTAACTTGTAGGCGGCGCCTGTGAGCCGCCCAAGAGGGCCGCGACGACTGGGGGTGTCGGTGCAGCGCGATAGTCAGGGGAGAGGTTGCGGGGCCCCATGGGCGCGTGGAGCGCGCGGGACGAAGAACCAGCTGGGGCGAGCGAGGGAGTTGCGGTGCGGCCATCTTGACGCACGGACGGATGCTGAGACGATGCTTGCCGCTCGTCCCCCGTCGTGCCGGTGGCGGCGTTGTCGGCAGGTGACGGGGAACGGCGTGGATGCCCGCCGACAGGGGCCGTCTGGGCTACGCGGGAATCGAGTGCGGCCCGACGCTCGGCGCGGGCCCGACGAGCGTCAGACATGGGCATGACGGTCGGAGAAGAACGAGGCGGTGGAAGACGAATTCCGGCACACCCCTACCTGGCGCGCCAAATGTCGGATTTCGGGTTCCGGCAGACCCTTGAGGTTCGAACACTGGGGTGCGCACGGAGATTTCGCCTCCTACCTACCTGCACCCCTCCGCCATGCTAAGATCTAAACTAAGGGAAGAACAACACAAGAGACACAGAGTTTATACTGGTTCGGGCCACCGTTATGGTGTAATAGCCTACTCCAGTGTGTGGTGTGTGGATTGCCTCTTGGGCTGGTGATGATGAACAATACAAAAAAGAACAGCCTCGCGAGGGTCTGTTCTTGGCTGGGGCGATGAACTGCTGGGAGGAGTTCAACCACCTTTCTCTCTCTCTCTCCCTGACCTGCCCCCTTTGCTGTGTGGGTGGCTGGTCCTATTTATAGAGGCCCTGGTCCTCTTCCCAAATATTGAGCGGGAAGGGAGCCAACAATGGCAGGCTAATTTGAAGGGGGACAACAAGTATCAGCTATCCTGACAAAAGTAGTCTTCGCCTGCACAAAACTCTGGTGATGACGCCGTCTTGGGCTCCACGGTGACATCCGTCTCGTAGTCCTCCTGGTCTTGGTCTCGTTGCACCGAAATGGCAACCTTTTCCTGATGCCTCGGTACTCCGCGGCTGCGCTTGCCCCCTTTGCACCAAAGAGGAATGGAGGACGCTGCGCGGGCTGGCACCCTCCTGGCGCCCTGAGTTGTCATGGCTTGCGTCATGGCCACCTCATGAGGTACCCCGTCTTGATCTCTTCGCCTCCACGTGAGCCAGCCTGACGAGGCCGTGCCTGAGGAAGCTTCACGTCGTTTGCCTCGCGAGGCTTGGCCCCTCGCGAGGGTCTTGGGTTTGTGTTGGTGAAGATGGGCCATGCTGGGGGCCCCTTTGAGCCACGTCGTAGGCCGCAGGCAGGCAAGTCTGAGGACCCCCGTTCCCAGAACGCCAACAGTTTGTGAGTTATTATATGCATGAACTCTAGGGACTTTTCTGCAAATCTGTAGTCTCTGGATAATATGGAGAATCGTTGGACAGGAAAAGAATACCACGGGCCAAAACTGGCAAGCCCAGAAGTGCACAGGAAAGGGGGCGGCTCACCCATGGGCCATGGCCCACTTGGTGGAGGCAGGCCGAGCGAGGAAGCAGCTGGGCCGGCTGGATCTGGGAGGCCCACTGGCGGTTGCTCGCAGACAAGGCGCAGTCAACACGCGGCGGCTGCGTGCGCTCGTCGTCCTGCTCAAATGAAACAGATAAGCGGCGCAGGCGGGGCAGTAGCGGGTCGGCGAGGAGGTGGCTTCGGCAAGTGTGGGTTTGGAGGCCGGGGCGGGCTCCTTCGGTGGCCATCCATGGCGCTGCTGGTTCAAAGAAATAGAGAGGGAGATGTGAGACAGGGAAAATGCAGGGGGAAGACTCAGGAACGGTGCAGGTCGCGCGGTGACCGAGAGAGGAACTGGGGGAAGGAGAGGTGCAACAGTCGCTGGCCGGCGGCGAGGTTCAGCGAGTCAAGGACAGACGGATCCGGGCATGGGAGCTCGAACGACGGCGGCGGGGAAGAGCTCGAGGTCATCCATGGCTTCAGGTGCTCCCCTGTTCGAGGCAACAGAGAGACAGGGAGATAGCGCAAGGGAGAGAAGAGAATAAAAAAAGGAGGAAGATAGGAGAAGAGGAAGGCGGCCCTGCCGGCTTCGGTCGGCGCAGACGAGGAGAAGGCAGGGCCTCGGGCGCGGGGCTCCAGGGGAGGCGCAGGTCGGAGGCGGCCTCGGGCACTCCTTGGTTGGGAGCGGAGGACGAACGGAAGGCACGGGAGGATGGTGGGTTGCGAGGGGATTTGGGCAGGTAGTGGCTGCAGCGAATTGGTAGGGTGGGGATGGATCGGGATGGATCCCGAGGTGAAAGAGGACTGGCGGCGGCGGGATGGGACAAGGGTCCTAATTTTTAGGGTTTGCTCAGATTTATATAGTGAGTGGTTTAGGTTAGGGGCTAATCCGGTCCCTCCGATTTATATCGAACGCTCAAGATAAATAGGCTAGGGAGACCAAAAAGAAAAAAAACGGAGATGTTTTGTAGATGTTAGGGGATGATCCGGATCCAACAGTGACGACTGCCTAGGTCGGGTCCGGGACAGCTTTCGGACGCGCGCGCGAGGAGGGCCGCGGGCTGACGAGAGAGGTTAGGTTGGGCCTGGCGGTGAGTGGTAGTGGGCTGTGCAGAAAGCCTAGGGCTGAGAGGAGAGAAGAGAGAGACCCGACGACTGTTTCCGGAGACCGAAAACGTCCGACGTTTAACCGACTATAATGTCGCTATAGTTAATCGTTGGGGCGTCAAATGTACTCCGAATGCGATGAAATTTGGCAGGCGACCTACTAACAACATAAAAACACCGCATGCCAACTTTCAACCCATTCCGAAAATATTTTCCGACCACTTATAAAATACTATTTCGGACATGCCGCGGACGCGTGGAAGTGTGTCTGGGCTCAGAACGGACAACGAAAGGAACTGGGAGACCCGGACTAATGCAAGTTTTAAAAACATGATGATGCAATGCACATGATGACATGAGAAGATGCAACACGCAAGCAAATGACATGGCAACGACAGTGAATAACTGGAAGACACCTGACTTAACGGTCTCGGGGCGTCACAACGGGCGCGCTCGAGCTCGAACTCGTCGAGCTCGCGCTGGTTGAATGGCGG